GGCTAGGCAAAGCCCGTTCGATGGCGACAGGGGGAGGAGGGGCTTGCGTCCTCGCGCGTGTGTGGGCTTTCGTGGGCTGGTCTCTCCACGGTCAAGCACGGCGCTGGTGTTGGGTATCATGGTGTGGCGGTGCTTGCGTGTGACGGTGCCCTGCGGCGGTGGCGGTGGACCGAGGAGCCTGCAGTGCAGCGGGTTAAGACCCACGCTGCCTGTCGACCTAATCTAGGCGTGGCGACTAGATTAGGTCGACAGGCAGCGTGGGTTGCGGCAGCAAGGGCCGATGGCTGTGGCTCTGCCTCCCAGCGATGGTGGCTGTCTGTTGGGAAATGCAGCAGAAAACAAAAAAAAAATCACCCTCGGCCATTCAAGAATAATATGAAGATGCATTAAGCGGTTTGATGTGCAACATTGAGTTGCCCTAATTCCAAAAGATGTTTGGCAGTTAGGTACTTAGGTTCTTTCGGATTAATGGGAGTTGCCGTAAGTATCGCCATCCAACGCCGATTCGCATTAGTACTCAAGGTAATTGATTTCTCCATTTACAGAAGGAAAATCAATCAACTCATAAGATTATCATCACACGACTACATATTGGCATGTACATCAATCATCATCAGCATCATCTGGACTGGACTAGAGGGGCAATCATTTTCACTAAAATGCCAGGCAAAAGGTCAAGTCAGGGAGTGGTAAATTCGCAGCATCAATGCTCGACTCCAGGGTGGTAGACAAAGTGTGGCGGCGACTGCTCACTCCTCATGTGAGTTTCCTCGTGCTGGTACTCATACTGGTGCTGGTACTGGTACTGGTACTGGCTGCTGGTCCTCTCCTCGTGGTGGCAATGCGTCTGTGCGCTCGTCTCCTCCTCATACTGTGAGTGTGAGCTTCTCACATGCTGCTGCTGCTGCTGCTGCTGATGCTCCGATTTGTCGATTCTCACCTCTATGGTGGCCTCCTCTTTCTGATCCTCCTGCTCAAACATTTGGAAGATGGGGTGCAGGTATGCATTTGCCAGGTAGGTCTTGAGGTTCAGGCTCGGCTCCGACGCGTGCTCCATCCTGTCCTTCTCCATCGCTTCCTGAGGTTCAGAAATGCAAACAACATCTCAGGTTCTGCAAACGATTTTCGAAGCAAAATTACCAATGAAAGAAAATAGCGTGCCAAGGTAAAATAATGCAACCTTAAAATCCGCTACAGTGACCCTATATCACACTATAGCGAACGACTGTACACTGATTTCATTTAGCAAGACAATGCTCACAACGTTGTAGCGTGCTATTAGCGGTGCTATAGCGCGCTATTTTTTCATTGAAAATTATACATGATACAGAGGTGACGCACTGACCTCTAGAGGGTACTTGCGGAACGCGGGTTCGAACCGACTCTTGCAGTACTTGTGGAACCATATTGTCAGCAACGGCAGGAAGATGAGCAGCGGAGTGGAGTAGGCGGCTTTCATCGTGCTCATCAGCCCAAAGAGGGTCACATGAGAGATGAGCAGGCTCGCTATGATGCGCGAATGGACCTGAGGCCAGAACGCCGCCGCGCTTTCGTACTCCTGATTGTACACATTGATGATCTGAAAACCAAGAGTGAAGGTAGGTCAGCGCACTGGCTCTGACGCAGCAAATGGATAGAGGTCAAAGCAGTATTCATCAACTCACCTGATGCCTGTAGACAAGGTAAGCGAAGGCGAAGAAGACGATTATGAAAGGGAGGAGAATGGGGGTGACCACCGCGTACACGAGCCCAAGGAGGAAGTACAACTGCAGGGATGGAAGGTTTTCTCCAAGAGAGATGCTGCGTGGGTCCATCGCCCTCTCCCTGTCCCGCTCGGTTTTCACGATGAACATGTTCTTCAGATGGTAGATGACCAGTGGCTTCACCCGAAGAATCTCGTTGGCGATGCCGGCCCAGCCATCGACCATTATGTATGTCATGAAGAATGTTGCTTTCATTGGTACGGCCACTCCAATGGTCCTTGGTATTCTGTTAAGAGATTAAAGGAAACGCGGATTGTTACCGTACATCCAACATTTTTCATTTTTCATATGTACATTTTGAGAATGAGTGCTAGTACATTCTAGTCATATCACGCGGCAGCACAATGATTAATGGAGACATTTTTTTTCGAAAAGGGGATAATTAATAAAATGAAGACATGGGAAAATAAGTTTTGGTTCATGTATGCAATATGTTAGCAGAAGAATATTTGAAGAAACTCACTGTGAAGGAGGATCGTGAAAAAAAGAATCTAGCTGCTCAAAAGCTGTGCCAGCAATTATGCTTCCAAGAAATACATTCACCAGCATGAAGTAGTAATATTTCGAAGCAGTTCTTCTTTCCAGAGATGACAAAGAGACATAGCCTTCAACTTTTGACATGATCATAAGAACCGTAGGGAGGATATAGAGAAAGAGCTTCAAAGCCAGACCGGGTAGGAAACCCTGTAGGAAGGACTTCACCACCTTTCTGCAAATTGAAAAAAAAGTCGTGTGAATGAATAGAAATAACGAGAAATCTCAAGAGGCATGATGCACAAAAAGAAAGAGAATCCTTACACTTCTATTACTGGCCTCAAGAAAGGCGCGACTCTTTCAATACCCTCGAGATTGGCAAGTGATTGCACAAATGCAATAGGTATCATGTAGAAGAACACCAAAGCAAAGACCGCGATTGATATGAGAAACTTGCGTATGCTCAGAGAGAAAAATGGAATAGCAAGATTCTGCCAGTAAACGTCACGTGGTTCAGGAGCCCAGTTAGTCAGCCATTGTGTGGGATTCTTTGACTGTTGTGTCTGTGCACATACAACAGCACCCCATCTTGAGTCAAATGTCACAAAAGAAACTGGCATAATGGCTTTTGGATCATTCAAAACTCTTTGACGCTCTGATGCAATCTGAAAATATTGACGTAAACGTAGCCTGTGTTAAAATCATAAACATATGTACATCTGATCTGCATAGGGTCTAGAAATTCAGCATGCACGGTAAAATGTTTCCCCCGAATCATAACGCCAACAAATTGTAGACGTACCCTCTTATCAAGTTCGCTAATTCTAGCCCGGTAGTAGTCGATTTGATCCACTTGTCTACCACAGAAACCAAAGCATCCTGTCTGAAATACCATGAACAAGGCAAGCAGTTAAGTTTATATGCACATATCCAAAAATAACAAAAGCAATGATTGGAACATTACCCTTCCAGTTGGTCTTTTCTCAGGATGCCTTTCAAACTTTAGCTGGTAGTAATCCAGCCAGTTTTGAAGTCTCTCCTTTTGCTTTACAAGTTTAGCATACCGGTTTGCATTGTAAACAGCCTGAAATAAAAAATAAGGTCAAGTTCTATAATCAAAACACTAGCCAGCAACCGTTATTTGTGTGTGTGTGTGTGTAAAAATCAACTAGAATGAGGATAGTATACCTGCTGACCAAGATAGTGGTCTGGATGGTTCCTGCGGAAGAACTCGTCAACTGTCTCAGACGTCGAATGGCTTGACACACGAGGTATGTTTCTGACAATCACCTGGCATTGTTTTTATTGTTGTTATTAAATGCTACAGTAGGACAGCTCTCGACGCATAGCAAACTTTGTTGATGTACTTACAGTGAACTGATCAGCACAACGTTTCTGAGAAGCTAAGAAATGCAATCTCATGAAGGCCACATTACTGTACTCTTTGTACAGCATAAAGCACGTCCAAAATGTGAACACATACGCCATTAGAAGATGAATAAAGAACCTGAAATGAAGTGGGATGTCAGGGGTCAACATTTTAGAGTACTGTTACAAATCAGAACATACAACCTAGAGCAACATAGAGTTTTAAAGAACAATGTTCTGACTTTGTGTTAGGATAAAAATGAACTGGCAAATTTAGAGTTCATAATTTACTGAAGATTACCTGTTGGAGCCCGGGCTAACATTTGATATGGACAGCTTATCAATATCACTGAACATAACATCTTTTCTCAGGTTCAGTAGGGTCCCTCCAGAGACATTGACCGGAATGAGAACCAGCAAGGCGACAACCATGACGGGCAGAAAAATCTTGAGGCTGCAAGTGAGACCAGAGGAAAAAAATAGTTAGTGTACAAAACACAGGGCTCAAACTGAACCTGTAAAATAGCCACACAAAAAAATACTACTAGTACTATATTGAAGACTTGAAGTGCATGAAACACAAAACAGTAGTCCCATCTCCTGCAACAGAGTTCCAAATCTTTTCCTTGACAAAAAGGGGGAAGGGAAAGGTGAAATTTCTCCAAAAGCACCGCCTGAGCAACCAAGGTCAACAGAATAATTTTTGCTTCTCGGTCGGATGGCCGTAAAGCATCGCTCACATGCGAGGATAAACGTGAAGGAGAAGTTTCGCCGGATCGAGAAACGCTTATACTTATTAGATGATGGAAATTAGTTTTATGCTCCATCTCTACAGTAGAAGGGACCAGCGAACCAGATTGTCTATCAATTTTCACTGTTGAAAACATGGCTGCATTCTGAAGAGGGAAAGCTTTGGAACGAAATTCCGTCCAAGGCGGCAAGGAAAGCATCTCCAGTTTGTTGTAAACGCCGGTGGTTGGTCCCGCCCTCCCCACATGCTGAATGATCGGTTGGAGCCACACGGAAAAGTTGCGTGTTGTTTAGTGGGGGAGCACCACCACTTAGCTAGGAATATGATACGGGTCGGTGGCGGGGTATACTCGATTACACCAGGCAGGCTAAAGTACTAGTCTAAAGCTGGATAAGTCCGTGCCTTGGCTGAAAGAGCGCCCGTGATCGTGCAAAACAATCCAAGGATATCTGACGGGCGGACGGCGCCATTTTCAACGCACAACTGAATTGGATGGCAGCCGCGACGTGCCAGGATGACCTCTATCGCCAACGTTGTCGCCGGACCCGGACACAAGCAACATTTCTCCGGATAATCACGCAACCCGTCACTCTGAGGGCAAGGCCAACGCGCCACCGTGGACAGCTGCCCCAGCTATCCACATAGGCTCGGGTGGTCCTAAACTGCTCAACGTGCTGCCTGCAGATCAAAACGGATGCTTGCAGAGGAGGCCGGCTCCTCCCTGACCAAAGAAGCAAAAAGGTGAGAGAAGGGTAGAAAGAAGAGAAAGGTGAGAATACACTGGTACAGAGTAGGCATGCTCTCGGTTCATGTTTGAAAAAGATTACGAAGAGAGAGAGAAAGTGGACCCTGGTGAAGCAGCTGTTGCATTGGGAGTTTATTTTATAGTACTACTGCTCAACATACTTTATCTAGGTGGAGAAGATGAGGCTATACCTTACGGATGCTTCCATTGCTCATGCCCTGAGATCCAATCAGTTGTGGGTTGAACTGACAAGTCTAATTAGCAAGGATTAATATCAAAAGCATTAGGGTTAAAACTTGGGGATAAAAATTGTACAGTGTTTCGATTGGGGGAAAATGCTTGTTTGGGGTTTGGGGTGCGCAATCTCCGGAGCATGTGAGGATCACATGTTCCGTATGAGAGAACCGAACAAGCATTGTGCTGTGCAACGAAGGAAACAGCTAGCAGCAGCGAGAAGGCAAGGTATAGGCGTGCATTATTGACACGCAAACCAACAACTCATCCAGGCAGGCAGGCAGGGGCAGGCCATGGGTGCAAATTTGGCGAAAAGCGCTTGTAACATTAATGGCAATGGCGTAATCCGCTGCCACTAATTTGGCGAAAATGAAAAGACGAACCAAATGCGGCCGTTATACTACTATCTGGGGATCAGAGCTAATTTGCTGTCGAGGAATTGGGTTGACAAAATAGTAACCGATCGCACGACTCCCAAATTGCACAATTCTGTAGTAGTCGAGCAGAGCAGAGCAGTAGTGGTAGTGGGAGGATTTCCGGAAATTAGAAGGGAGTGAGTGGTGTGGCGTACCCGAGGGTGTAGATTCGGAGGTAGACGGCGGAGTCGAGGCCGGCGTGGTGTATGAGCTCGGTCTGGGTCATGCGGAGCGCGCCGGGGACCCAGCTGAGGAACTTGAAGTAGGTGCAGAGGTTGAGGTTGATGGCCCTGCGGGCGCCGCGGTGGTCGGCGGCGCGCTTGCCGGCGATGTAGAGCTTGGGGAAGTAGACGCGGTCGTTGATGGGCTGGATGCGGAGCACGGCGAAGAGCAGCAGGAAGACGAAGGCCCCCAGGATGTTGATGAAGGCCGACACCCCGAGGTCCTGCAGCGTCGCCATGGCTGGGGACTGGGTGGGTTGTCTGTGCCGCCGCCTAGCAGACTAGCAGTAGACGCGCCGGCGCATGCGCGGCAAGGAAGGGGAGAGAAGGCAGGCGGGCGGAAATTGAGGGCGCCGGGGCGGGGGTGGTGGCGTGATGGAAGGTGGAGTAAATGAAGGGAAGAGAGGAGGAGAACGGCAGGCAGTCGGGCCGGGTTCCTCGCTTGGAATTTTGTGGAGCCCACCGGCCACCGCCGCTCTATCTTGTCACGGATGCTACGTAGCGCTGTCTCTGCTTGGCGTCACAATGCGTTCTGGCCATGTACAGACGGCATGGATGAGTGAGGATGGTGTTGGTTTCTTCTTTCCAGTCCAGAGAGAAATTGGGTGCAAACTCGTGACGAACGACATGAACACTATCCCTCCGTTCCCAAATATAAGTCTTTCTAAAATGTTGGTTAACGGATGTGCCGGAGAGAAATTCACTCATGCGTGTGGGCTGAGGCAGGGGGACTCAATATCACCGCTACTATTCGTGATCACAATGGACGTGCTCACGGCCATCATTAGTAAGGCACACGACAACCAGGTGCTGGCAAAGATCAATGGTTGTGGACCGATGCAAAGGCTGTCGCTATATGCTGATGATGTGGTTCTTTTCATCAAACCGACGAGGCCGGACTTAGCTTTTGTCAAAGAGGCGCTCAACATCTTCGGGGCTGCATCAGGGCTACAAGTGAACTTCGTGAAATCCTCAGCTATTCTGATCCGTGATGAAGAGGAGGACGAGGAACGGCTGCGGAATACTTTACCATGTCAGATCGAGACGTTTTCTTGCAAATATTTGGGATTGCAACTGAGTATCAAATGCCTCACGAGATCGGACTGGCAACCAATTGTGCATACGGCCCTTCGGATATTACCAGGATGGCAGAGGGGGATGGTGACAAGGCCGGGGCGTCTTATTCTTGTCAACCAAGTCATGCGTGCACGGCCAACGCATCACTTGATAATCGCAGAAGCTCCAAAATGGGTTGTGGAGAGGGTGAACAAAGGCTGTCACGCATTCTTTTGGGCTGGATCGGAGGAGATCCACGGAGGAAAATGTATGGTTGCTTGGCAGAGAGTGTGCAGACCAAAGACTTGTGGCGGGCTGGGTGTGATTGATTTACACAAGCATGCCATTGCTCTTAGAATGAGATGGGAGTGGCTTAAAAGAACAGATCAGTCCAGGCCATGGCATGGTCTATGCAACATGATTGACAAGCAGGCGCAAGACGCTTTCACAAGCATGGTCAGGTGGCAGATAAGGGATGGCTCGCGGATTCTATTCTGGAAGGACATATGGGTAGGAGGACAAACTGTCAACGAGATTGGGCCTATACTTGTGGGAAAAGTGAGGACGCAATGGCCAACAAGAGGCTGCTAAGAGACGGGCTATATATGCATTCTTGGACTAATGGCATTGGCGGAGAGTTAGATACGGAGGGGCTGGCGCAACTCATCAAACTATGGGACATTTTGATTGACGTCCAGTTGACTCAAAAGCTGGATGATAGACTGATCTGGGCTTGGAACCCATCTGGGAGGTACTCTGCTGCCTCGGCTTATAAGATAATGTGTGAGGGGGGAGGGGATCAGATTCCAGGCAACTGGGGCGATAATGGAAGTGCTGGGCACCACTAGGTTGCAAAATATTCATGTGGCTCGCCTTATTACACCGACTATGGACGTCAGACTGGCGCTTGAGACACGGGCTGCAAGAGGCGATTTCGCCATGCTATCTTTGCAACCAGGAGGACGCGGTGGTACATATACTGATGAAGTGCGTCTTTGCCACGCAGGTCTGGCACCAATGCTTTCTGGAAACGGGAATCAGCTCGTCGCTCACTCCAACGGGGCAAGCAACGCTCCAGGATTGGTGGGCTGCAGCGAGGAAACAGGTGAACAAAACAAAGCACAAGGAGTTCGATGCTTTTGTGATGCTCGTGTGCTGGTGCATATAGAAGCAGAGGAACGAGAGAGTCTTTGGCAGAAATGATACTTGTATTGAGAGTGGCACGGTGCAGCTAATTATGAGAGAGCGACGCCTTTGGGCCATCGCGAGAGGGGGTGGAGGACTACCTAGTCGCGAGTAGTCTGCTAGGTGGATAGGAGTAGGAGTGGCTAGGCTCGTGTGTGCGAAGCCTGTCGTTTGTAAACAAACTCCTGTACATATATTCTATCTTCTATAAAGCTAAGGTACGCCGTTGGCGTACTCTTGAAAAAATAAGTCTTTCTAGAGATTCCAACAAGTGACTACATACGGAGCAAAATGAGTGAATCTACGCTCTAAAATATGTCTGCATACATCCGCGTATTGTAATCCATTTGAAATGTCTAAAAAGACCTGTATTTAGGAACGGATGGAGTACTATGTAGTAGGCACTTCAAGTACTACAAAGCGACCGCGAATCAATCTATGGTTGGATGGTTAGAGGGACTATGGTATCCCAGCCCACCAAAGTTTGAATCCTGGTGCTCGCATTTATTTCTGAATTTATTTCAGAATTTTCGGTGATGCGCATTTAGTAGGAGGAGACGTTTCCGTCGATGATGAGACGCCTACGGTAAGTTTGTAAATCTCAAGCCTTCGTAGAGATGAGTGTATATAAGCGCTTATGTATGTATTGATGTTTAAAAAAATACTACAAAGCGGCGGCACAGGCAGCTAGCTGGTACTACGTACTAGTACTACTCGAATGCAGTGCAGGCGGGTTTTGACTACTGTATGCCTAGCCTGCCATTCTGTGCTCCGCGTAGGCCAAGTAAAGTATGCGCGTTAAACTTTCATTCACACGCCTACCGGCCTGCCTGACACCCATTTTTGTAACAACCTTAAAAATGGAAGGTTGCATCACATGCACCATGAATTGACTACCCACTCCATCATCGCAGGCACGGACAGACGGAGAGGGAGCCAGACCGAGCGAGCTATCCAATTAAGACAGCTTGGCAGGCATTTGCAGCATGTGAAACTCTACTCGCCGCAACGCGTGTCATGTCCATGTGCATTGGTGCATACACACCGCGCCCACTCACTCTGTGCATTTTGAAACCGAACCAAAAAACCGAACAGAAAAATACCGAACCGAGCCGATATTTTGGTTTATATGGTTTTTGGTTTTTGGTATGGTATAGGATTTAGAAACCATTTGAAGGTCGGTTTTTTCGGTATAAAACCGAAAATTTTCGGTTTTTACCGAATAAACCGAATAAGTTGGCCCATTTTGCATTTCAGGCTTTCAGCCCAACGCCACAGTCCGCCAGGGCCCAGGTGCCACCGCGGCAGGCCGGCAGGCCCCAGCCCCGCACGGCCAGAAGCCCACACCCCACGACCTAACCTACCCTGTCGCCGCTCATTCCAGTCCCTCCCCGAGTCCCCGACCTGATGACCTAGAGTGTGTGGCGGCGACCGGCGATGGCTGTTCTCGCCAAACCCTAGCGCTCGAAGCGGCGGGCACCACGGCCGGCGGTGCGCTCGGCGCTGCTACAAGCTCCACTCCGACACCACCACTTCGCCCCCCTCCAGTTGCAGCGGCCAGCGGCGGCGCGAGCAGCACATCTCCGACGCCACGCCTTCTCGCCTTCGTCCCTGCCTTCGGTACCCTCGCCAGCTCTCGCCAGCGCCGCTCCTCCCTCCTCTGCGATTCTACAGTTCGGCCCCTCGCTGCAGCCTCCATCCCCGCAGGTAATAAGGAAATCAATCACTGAGACAGATATTTAGATGGCCGAGTCTCGATTGATGTTGTGTTCGTGTGTTGGATTGAACGATTGATGTTGTGTTGGTCTGTTGATTGATGTTGTGTTGTACTTTATGTTCATCTTCAGATAATTAGATGGCTGAGAGTCATGGCATATCAGGTCCTAGCCTTCCACCAAGCAGTGAACCGTTCGAAATGTTTGAGGTTCCTCCGGATCCTTGTACTAAAACTGGAAAGAAAGTGAAGAAGCATGCAGCCTCAAGAGCAGCAATATGGCTCCACTTCACTAGGGTTCCCGATGAGCCAGACCGCGCTTCATGCAACTATTGTGGACAGACAGTGGGTGTCCATTCATCGAGGAATGGTACTTCTGGTATGAACAACCATGCTAAGATTTGTAAGAAGTATGCTATTATCAAGTCGGGGAGTCGGACCAATGAGACTGAACTGAGGTTCCAACTTAGTGCTGATGGTAGTACTGTCATTCCAGTTCCATGGCAATACAATGAGGAAGAGGTAAGGGTAGCCTTTGCTCGGATGATTGTTGTGGATGAGTTGCCATTCATTTTCTCTGAGAAGGAAGGGTTTAGGTATTTTATGACGAAAGCTTGTCCTAGATTCCACATTCCATCTAGGACTACAGTTTATAGAGATATTATGGGCCTCTATGCTGCAGAGAAACATGTTGATAAATAGTTGCCCTAGGGCAGCACTACACAACCTGAAAAACTGCAGTTATGCACATGTTCTGTACTGAACTAGTGACTAATGTGTAAATCTTCTATATATGCTTGTGTATTAATTATGATATGCTAAGGTACACTATGCTTGTTCTGCTCTATGCATGATGGGATGAATATGACGGCCCTGATGGATGAATGTTGATGCTCTTTGCTCTGTACTAAGTTTGAACATGTACAGCCGTGTGAGCTTGGTTGTCTACTTGTCTCGTATATGTGAACCTGTGATGGCCCTGCCCCTGATGGTTGAATGGTGAATTGCTGATGCTATTTACACTCAAGTTAGATCATGTACAAAATATTTACTCATCGAAATATGTAACCAGAACTTAAAAATTGTTGCCTTATTTTCAAATTCGCGTCAACTTTGGTTATTTTGGTATGTACCGAAACTATACCGAAATATTTTGGTATATACCAAAACCGAACCATATTTTATTTTCAAACCGTATTTACCGAAGTATAAATACCGTACAAACCGATAAACCGTATTTACCGAACCATGTAAACCGAATAAACCGAACGCACAGAGTGAGCG